CTGAAAATGAGAATCAAGAAGGGAGGATACCGTGCGCGAGTGCGTGAACGCGTGTGCGTGTGCGTGTGCGTAAGGACCGTTGCACTCGCTCCTCTGGCCCACTTTTATATCCTTCGGCTATTATTATTCGAATTTGCTCCCTCGGGATACCCGTAGGGACCTCTCGTGGAATTTAGGGAAAGGGAGCGGGGTCGGGGCTCCGCGCCTTCCCGCCCCCGGAAACTCGATACCGGATGAACAAACCGTGCGTGAATTATTTATCGTCGCATCGCGATTAACGGATGATCGACTCTGTGGGCTCGAATGTTTCTGCGGCGCGTTGCGCAACTTATTATTCATTGGCTGTGTTATTTAGAGCGGTCTTTTACTTGCTGGGATTGATCTATGGGAAAAGGGTGGATGCCAAATCCGATCGATCGGCTCACTTTCGTCCCAGCATCAATATTTACATGTATAGTAAGATTGTTGGATGAAACTTTGAATTCATTGGATGATGCGTGTTTATGATAGAAGTATCTGTTTGATGCTAACAGGCTTTTTCTTTTTTTTTTTTAATTAATGGCCCTACTCTGGGTATTTTTCACGGAATTTTCAAAACTAGCTGAAAACATTGTCTACGGTCTATCAAGCTAATTACCAATTAGCTCGATAATTGGAGGACGATTACGCGAGCGACCGCTTTGCCAATAATTCCCATCAATTTATCCACTTACGTAACTCACGGTTCGTTCTTTGTCATCGTGCTGGTGCTACAGGACAAAAGATATCCTACGCTCGGACTACTATATCGCGATTACTGCTTTTGAAAATACCCAAATTTTACTTCCGTACAATTGGATTATCTGTAAGTGGGATTAATCCGAAATAAGACATGGCGCCCAGAGTGGGTATATATATAACACACAAAAGGTTGGATTGGACAGGCACTCTTACTATTAGACATTTCCATGAAACTGAATCGTTCGGCTCGATTTTCATCCTAGGCGCCAGTCAGCTGACCATTCTAGGAAAAATGGCGAAACAGGGATACGAGAATGAAGGGGGCCCCTTAAAATTTCCTGGAATTCTGGGGAACGTTTACCGAGGGTACCGGGAAACTGGGAAACTTTCGATCCCACAATAACCATAAGCACAATGGGGATACGGTCCATAGGCAGCACCCTCAGGAAACTGCGCAACCCTTCTTCACACAAAGGGAAATATTCGAAGGAGAAATTGAGGAATTTCACTCGTTGAACTTCGCCTCATGATTTTCACATCGTTCAGCCTGTTTTCAGGGAGTGTCCATATTTTTAAATAAATTCCCAAGGCAGCTACCAACCCGCCTACCTTTTACCTCTGAAGCCGTAAGCGTATGAATTCACAAAGGCGCTAACGTAAAAGCGTCACGCAGCCCTTCGAGGAAAAGGAGGCGCCTATGGTCGTCGGGGCGCGCGTAATTAAGTTTCGCCCCCCCCCCCCCCCCCCCCC